CGGGCACCCGGGCAGGTCTCCAGTGGAGTGTGTGAACGAGGAGCTTTGCCGTGCCCACGGTCATAGTTTGTAACTGGGACTGATCACCTCTTGCAGAGAAAAACCCAGACTTAAAGACTGTGAAAGGCTTCAGAGAACCACTGAAGAAGCAGGGGACAGGTCCAGAGGGAGTGCAGGGGTGAGGCCAAGGCTTCCCTGGGCCCAAAGGCAGAGAGCTGGGCAGGCTGTCACAGACCCCCAGAGGTCGGGGACAAAAACAACCCTTCGGCGCCTGGAAGGCCGGACCCAGAAACACCCGGTTTTTGACTGGGACCCTTGACAGCTGTACTCGAAATCTGGACAGACCAGAATAGATTGACCTGTCCAGTCTGAGGCCGTTCCCACCCGTCTGGCCAGCAGCCGGCAGGCACACGGCCATGGGGCTAACACAGGTGAAGTGCCTGGCCATCTCTGCAGTCTTCAACATGATGTCTAGAGCATAAGAAAACAGAACCAACCAACCCAAGAAGCCAGTCCACTACTCTGGGACCTGAAAAATAAGACCAAAGGAAAAACGGCAAATGGCAGAGGATGGTGACGTGAGAGGGCAGGTCACATGGGCATCTCAGCAGAGGACGAGAATAAAACCATCTCTGTGAGAAATGTACCCATTCCAATTAAGGCCCAGTAGCGGAGGAATGGCAGACTGGACATGGCTGATAAAGGAACCGGCCAGCGAGGACGTGCGGAGGAGGGAGCCAGGACTGCGTGGAGAGGAGGGAGGGCAGGAGTGTGGGGATGCGTGGAAGGTGCAAGGGGACCAGCGATGGCGCAGTGGTTATGTTGCTAGATCCCCATGCAGGCGACTGTGGTTTCAGTCCTGGACTGGCAGCTTAAAACTCATGCTGGGCATGTGTGTGTGCACGCCCAAGATCCTGAGCAGAGACTGGAGCAGGGAATGGCGTGGCCACCCCTGGGGGCAACTTCTCACTTCTGTCTCTCCAGTGAGCGCACATGAACTAAAGGCACACAGGAGCCACGGAAGCACAGAGCATGTGTCACCTGCACTCCAAGGACGGGGACGTCCACAGAACCACACGGCCTCTGAAGAGACCACGGCCAACAAAGGGAGCTAATCGCGAAGACAGCACCGGCCTAGGGGCGCTCTAGCAGGGCCCCCAGTGACCGTCAGCAGCAGGACAGAGAAACCCACGCGTAGCTGGGTGGGTGGGACTCGTTTTCACAGAGGACAAGATTCAGAGCCCAACCTCTCAACAGAGGGCTGGAGCCAGAGGACGATGGGCGTGCAAGAGTGCCAGCAGCAGTGAAAACAGCCCTCCAAACAAAGGCAAGGGCTGGTCACGAGGAGGTGAAGGCACTGGACACCAGTGGCTGATCAAGGCTTGAGTCTTGGGCCCGGCAGCTGAACACTAGATGTGGTGCATGTGCGTGCGTGCCCCAAGTCGGGACAGAATGGAGAAGCGGCTGTGGCATGGCTGTTCTCCCCGGGGGCTGATTTCTCTCTCTCTCTCTGGCACACACACTATAGCAAATTAAAAAAACAAAACAAAACAAAAAATCCCCCAAAACCTCTCAATATGAAACCAAAGACCAGGCAGACAGAACTAGAACCCACTGGCAGCAGGTCCCCCGGCCTGTTAAACCAGTATGAGAAGGGCATCGCTGCAGCCTGCTGGTTTAAGGCAGTGGACCCACAGGGCCGACGGCATTCGAATCCCGGCCCCACAGCCCGCAGCACACCACGCGCTGTGCGAGCATGCCCCGAACTCCGACAGGATGGGGGAAACGGAGGGGAGCTGTGGTAGGAACACACGCCCTTGGCAATGGAGAAAGGTTAAAATGTTAAACTTCATGTGACATCTATTTTACCACAATAAGCCTGTCCCTGGTGAAATGGCCCTACTACAGGAAGTGCTGCTGGTATGCGTTCAGGGTGAGGGGCTTGGAGTCACTAAGCCCTGGAAACCAGTTCTCACCAGAGAGGGCGGCAGCCACATGCCCTGTGTTCTTCCAAATAAAGCAGGACCAGCAGGTAGCATGGTTACCATGTGGACTCCCACATGGCTGACTGTGGTTCAAGTCTTGGACCCAGTGGCTTGAAACTCACACTGGGTACATGTGTGTGCATGCGTGCCCGAGATCCCAGAAAAATGGAGAAGGGGTGATTGCTCACTTTCCCCCTCGCTGTGCCTGTCTCTCCAGCGAGCGCACACGCCCTAAGGCAAAAACTTCTACAAAGACCCCACAAAGCGACGAGAGTGTGATGGGGTCGTGCAGTTCCACCGTGCTGAATTTTGGGGACACGACCGTCAGGCAGCTGTTGCCGGCACGTCCAGTGCTCGTCCACAAGCCCACGTGGCAGCCTCTGCCTAAGCTGTGGCCTGAGCTAGGGCAGCCTGGACTGCTGTGCTGTCCCACGGGGCATGACAGGGCAGACATGTTTTGTTCAGAAAGTGGGATTTTTTTGAGAGGTCTTTTGCCAATAGGGCGTGTGCGCTCGCCAGAAAGACAGAGAAAGAGCACAAAATAATACCCCCCCACCCCGAGAGGGTATGGCCACACCACAATCCCTTCTCCATTCTCCACTCAGGATCTTGGGCACATGCGCACACGTGCCTGGTGTGAGTTTTAAGTCACCAGGTCTGGGACGCGAACCATAGTCAACTACATGGGAGTTCAGCGACATTACCATTACACTAACTGCTGGTCCCACCGGTGTTAAATTTTAAGACATTGGGTCCAGGACTCAAACCGCGGTCGACTACATAGGAGTCCACCGATGTAACCACTACGCCCCTCAGAAAGTATTGCTGAAAGAACGAAGAGGCAGCCAAGCTGGCCCCTGGTGAAGCGGAAGGCTCAGTAAGAACACGGCAGCACACGGACAGCGGGCAAAGGGTTGGCACACCCACCTCCCACACACAGATCAGTGGAAAGCTCAGCGCCCCCTCGGTCCCAAGGACTGTGTGCTGACCCCACTTTGCAGCCACCAGGCTAGCTGGGACGCAAAGGCTCGCTGGCGGGCAGCAGGCACTGGTGCAGTCATGGGCACTGCTACGGGACAGGCTGGCGGGCATGGCTGCCCGGCCACTCCCACTGCAGGCAGCACCCAAGAGTGACGTGTCCATAGAAGAGGGTGCAGACACTTACAGCAGCTTTCTTCTTGATGGCCCAGGATGGGCCACGGACAAGCACATGTCACTGAAGTGGGGCATGCCGGCAGGGCACTCGGTCTGCACGATGCAGCCCAGTGGGCTGCCCAGAGCCACGGCTGCCCCACCTCCAGAGTGTGAGTGCCAGACACGGAGCCAGGACACACAGGGCCCACTTGGCAGCACCAAGCCGCAGGGGCAGGGCGGGCCAGGCAGGCTGCTGAGAGCCCACATGGGCAGCCGTCTGGACTGCGCACGCCCGTCCACAGGTCCAGAGCGCTGTGTGTCAACTGCTCGTCATTAGAGCTTTTTATCTTGTTTTAGATGTTTTGCCGTGGGGCGCATGCGCTCACTGGAGAGAAAGAGAGAGACAGAGAAGGAAAGTGAGACAACTCTCTCCCCCTAGGGATTGGCCAAGCCTGACCCTTCTCCAGTCTCCTCTTGGGATTTTGGGGTTCCAGTTCCACCTTGTGCCATGCCCACATGCAAGCCCAGGGTTAGCACTCTGTAGGCAGCTTCAGGTTAAGCTGTGAACTCAGAAGAACGTGGCCAAGACGGGGCCAGCAGGGCAAGGCTACATAGATGAGGTGCTCTCCACAGCAGGGGAGGTGGACATGCAAACTGGGCGCCGGCCGCTGAAGCATCCTCAGCCACACGGCCCATGAGGAAGCGGCTGGCAAACCACCACACAGCACCGAGGACTTCTGAAAAGCAACCGCGGACCTGTTTCTCAGATACAGCAGGAAAATAAAAGCAAGAAGATGCAGACTGTGAAGGCTACAGTGTAGCTAGCCCAGAGAATGTAAGAGACCTACAGGCCGAGGTGGGCAGGGGACAGTGAGGAGGAGCAGACTAAACTCAGGACTGTCTCCAGGAGGCGAGTGGGCAGGATGGGCAGGGGAGGACGAGGCCTGGCAACACGGAGCCTCTCTGAACCCCACATCAGACCTGGACAGCCCAGTGCCTGGTCTCAGGGCTGTGATGGACATATGCGATGTGGGTGAGTGGGCTGACGTGACCCACAAGTCCTGTGCAGATAGGATAGCACGAGGGGCTGGGCCCTGCGGTGTCCACCTGGCTGTCAGGTGCTCTCAGCCTGCAGACACAGGTTCACGCAGCTGCGCAGCCTCTGTCCTGGGCAGCAGTCGGGTCGCCTTCACCAACCCCACACGGAGTGGAGGTGTCCAACCTGGCGACTCCAAGCAGCTGAGGGAGGGAAGGTGGCCTTCCCCCTTCAGGGAGGCACCAGCCCACCGTCTCCCAGAACGACAGGGAAACCAGGTAGCTCTGCATCCACATGCAGACCAGTGTCTGAGTACAAGACCACACAGCATGGCTGACACCAGGGACGGGGCACATCAGCAGGGCCACAGCTGGGAGCAGCTGCAGCGTCACCCTGCTCCACTCCCGTCCCGCCCCACCAACTTGGCAGTGAAGGGACGTCCCCAAGGCAGGACCACAGGACAAAGAGACAGGGAAGCTACAAGCCCCAGGAGCCCAGAATCGGAGGACGGAACATGATGGGTGCAGCAACCCCACCTGGAGGCCATGGCAGCCCAGTGCGCAGCAGCAAGTCCCATGCGGCCCGTCTCGCTGTTGGCAGCTGGACAGCGGCTACAAGAGCTGCCAGGGAGTCTGCGGGGGATGCGCCTGACAGATAGCTGCACAGCACTAGCAGCCCAGGCAGTAAGGCCAGCTGGCCACCGGGATGGACACAGTGCAGATGCAGGCTGGCACAGCACCCCTCAGCCGCAGCCTGAGCCCCGGTTCAGGCTCCAAGGAGACACCCTGGAAACACGCCATGTGGAAGGAACCGAACACGTGGGGGCACACGCTGGCTGCGCCACTCACACGACATGCCCAGAACAGCACGTCTGGCGGGCAGAGCACGGCTGCCTGGCCCCAGCAGCTGTGAGGGGCGGCCAAGGAGCCCGGCTTGCCTTCTCAGAGCATGAAAGAGAAAGACTGACTGTGGTAGTGCCCGTCCAACTCCGAGTACACTGAGACTGCACGGGACGGGGCCAGCAGGTGGCACAGTGGTCAAGGCACTGGACTCACACGCGGCTGACCGCAGTTTGACTGAAGAATCACGCTGGGCACGTGTGCACACACGCCCAAAATCCCAGGAGGACCATGGAGGACGGGCTGCAGTGTGGCCATCTCTCAGGGGGTGACTTTTCACTTTCCCTCTTTCTGTGGAGTGCACACACACACTGCACCCTCACAAAAATCTTAAAAAAAAAAAAAAAAAAAAAAAAAATATAAAACAAACTTGAAAGGGGGAG